TAATAAAAAAGTAGCTTAAGAGATGCCATCTTTAATTATGGTTTCTCTTTTGAATTGTTTTAATAAGCAGCAACTCCATTTGTCACCCAGCCAGCTTTCATGCCTACGGTAGACTAGAACTTACCATCACCTGGTGATTGGCCCAAAGTCAGCCAGTCAGCTTTCATGCCTAAGGCAGGACTAGAACTCACCACCACCTGGTGATTGGGCCAAAGTCATCCAGCCGGTTTTCATGCCTAAGGCAGGACTAGAACTAATAGTTTCTGAGTGATTGACCCAAAGTCACCCAACTGACTTTTACAGCTAAGGTGGGACTAAAATTCAGTCTCCTATTTTCTAGCCTGATGCTTCTACCACTAAACCAAAGTGGATCTACTTTTTTTTATTTATTCACTTATTTACTTCAGTCCAACTGTTGCAAGTCAAGCTCGAAACCGATTGCAAAACTCCCCCAGTGCTCAGCTGGCTCCAGGGCACCCAGCTGTCTTTAGACTCAGTTCATGGCTATATTTGGAATGGAGAATTGTGTCTCTCTGCATGTTTCACGGGCAGCCTTTCCTCCAGAGCACAGCTTCCTTCATGGTCCTAGTGAAACTCCAACCAGGCACCAAAGAAAGAGTAGCACCCACACATTATTATGTTCAGGGCACACCTTTCTGTGTTCAAATGTGCAATGCCCAAAAGGCTGGAGGTCAACCCAGAAGGCTGGTTTGGGATCAAGAATCTTGCTGGTTGTCCAGCCTTTGCTCTCTACTATCCATTCTACCCCGTCTAGAGGGATGCGGTGGCTCAGGGTCTAAGATGCTGAGCTTGTCGATCAGAAAGGTCGGCAGTTCGGCGGTTCCAATCCCTGGTGCCATGGAACAGAATGAGCTCCCATTACTTATCCCAGCTTCTGCCAACCTAGCCGTTCAAAAGCACGTTAAAAAATGCAAGTAGAAAAATAGGGGCCACTTTGGTCAGAAGGTTACAGCGTTCCATGCGCCTTTGGTGTTTAGTCATGCCGGCTACATGACCATGGAGACGTCTTTGGACAGTGCTGGCTTTTTGGCTTTGTAACGGAGATGAGCAACACCCTCGAGCTGGAAACGACTAGTATGGATGTACAAGGGGAACACTTATCTTTACTTTTACTACCCCGTATATCTTCATCCTTCTCTTTTTCCTAGGCACATATACCCTCGTTCTGCCTTTCCAGAAGGAAATTCTTAAATTCTTTTGTGGCCTTGTCTCTTAATTGGCCTGATTCCAAATCACCCGGATTGTCGGTTTCCTTATTTCATTTGTACAGAGTCCATTCTAATTTCTTGAGTTTGCGGGCCCAGCCCAACGTATCCTAAATACATATGTGTGTGTGCACGGACACACACATGCACACATACACAGAAACACATCCCATCTATTTCAGAATTTCAGGGTAATCTTATTCTTCGTCTGTGTTTTTCAGACAGGCATTGCATGTGAATATTTCAAAATTATTTGTTTTACCTCATTCTCTTGGGATGGTGCAATAAGGTGCTATAAGTAAACACAGGGATTGTGCCCCAACTCTGCTGAATGTTTAATTTTCACAGCTGACACAATACAGTGACTCAGTTATTTTGTCTAATGTGCATAATTTGTCTAAGTTATTTTGTCTAATGTATATTAACTCACAGGGTGTGGCTGCAGTGTTATTTATCCCTTTTATTATTTTTTTACTTCACCCCTTTATTGGCTGTAAACATTATTATTATTTTATCTCTTTTATTCGTTAAATATGAAACTCGGTCAACTGAACATTTAAATGTATCACAAATATTATTGACTGGCGCTGAGGGTTGATACAGGTTGCTGCCAGCATCCTAGGTATTGTTATTGTTATTACTATTATATCACAGCCAGATGTTCAGACTGGGTTTGGGCATTTTTGTCTACTTATCGAGTCCTTACCAAGGACCTGGGATAGGCAGCTGTGGATGTTTGACGGTGTTAAGATATCGTTGATGCAGGATGGAAGCTGTTCCACATAAAGCTGCCTTCTGCAATTGACTGATGGCAAATTTGTCAATGCCTATGGTGTTGAAGTGGTGCTCCAGTTGTTTTGGGATTATACTCAAGGTGCCTATTACTACTGGTACGACCCTTGCTTGCCTTGGCTATAGTCGTTCTATTTCTATTTGTAGGTCTTCGTATTTTGTTATCTTCTCCAGTTCTTATTCTTTTATTCTGCTGTCTCCAGGCACTGCCAGGGCCATCTTAGCAGCATTATGGGCCCTGGACAAAGCAGTGAACTGGGGCCCCTACAACTATTCACAGGAATAAAAATATAAATGGTCGATAAAATTAAACATATATTTGCATGTTAGTATTAATTAAGAAATGCATAAAATGTAATAAATATGTTGCTGTATTTATATGATAAGGTGCATTGAAGGGTTAACATACACAGGTTAGCATGGGGCCCCTATGCTCGAGGGGCCCACGGGCAAGTGCCCATCAGGCCCATGCGTTGACAGCCCTGCCCTGGCCCACCGGTGGTCCCTGGCCCACCCCTGGCCCACCAGTGGTCCCTTTTGGATTTTCTGGAACAGGTTGATTCACTCTGGAAAACCCGGGCTGTGAACGAAGAGCTAGAAAGGTTTTGATTAGGCGGTTTAATCTTCCCAGCCTGTCACAAGGAAGTGGATTTGCTAGCGTGTGACGAGATGCAGGCTGCTTCTGTTGAACCCTCTTTGGCTGGCAGAGAATAAACAAACGAACCGACAGAGTTTCAGTTTCATAACCTTAGGGAGGGTGGAAAAAATATTGTGGCAATCCTGACCCTCTGGCTTTGAATTTGCTCCTCTCCCACCCGCCTTGCTGCCATTCTTCGATTTGTGTGAGAGCTTTTGTCGCACAATTATCGAGATGCGTGTCCGAGATTCAAAGCTAGGAAATATTGGGTAAGTGCCAACGGCTTGCATGGAGCTCCTGCACCGCTTATCCCAAATACTTCTGGGAATTTGGACTCCAGAGGATACTTAAAAGATTAACTGCTTAACTGGCCCCGTCCCCTGGGATAAATGTGATGTTTGTCAATACATCTGTTGCCAGTCTCTTCTGTTACGTACGTACGCTCTTGTTGACTCGTCTTGTGCGTTTCCATGCTAGCAGGCTCCTGGTTGCTGTTGTATCAATGCACGCAAGGAAAACATAAGCCAGGCCTTTAAAACAGTCTTGATTTTAATGCAAGCCCAAAGCGTCTCACCCCACTCCACGCTCATCTAAGAGTTTTAGCCTGGAGGATGGTTTCTGTCCAACAATACTAATATTGACCCCGGTTGTTGGGGGAAATAGGCTGACTCTGTAAACCACTTAGAGCACCAACCTTTCAGACCTCAGGGACCCCTAAATTCATAATTTTAAATCCCACAGACCAATAATATGATTTTTTTTTTTAAAAAAAGAAGATAAATAGTATTCAGTGCAATATAACAAAATGCAAATAATTTTTCTGCGGGACCACCCAAATTTTCTCGCACAGATCACTGGTTGGTGACAGCTGGTTTTAGAGAGGGCTGGAAAGCATTTATATAAGTCTTAAGTGCTATTGCCATTAATTAATAGCAGAGGGATTTGTGGGGCAAAGATCTTTCAAATCCTTGTGAAATCACTTTTAGAATGGAATGGAATGGAATAGAATAGAATGGAATAGAATAGAATAGAATAGAATAAGGAATAGAATAGAATAGAATAGAATAGAATAGAATAGAATAGAATAGAATAGATGGAATGGAATGGAATAGAATGAATAGAATAGAATAGAATAGAATAGAATAGAATAGTGGAATGAAGAATGGATAGAATAGAATAATGGAATGAAGAATGGATAGAATAGAATAGAATAGGAATATTGGAATGAATAGAATACAGTAGAACAGAGTAGAATACAGTGTAGTACTGTACAATACAATAACGAATAGAATAGAATTAGGAATATAATAGAGTATGGAATGGAATGGAATAGAATAGATTTAGAATAGATTTAGAACAAAATAGAATTCTTTTATTGACCAAGTGTGATTGGACACACAAGGAATTTGTCTTTGGTGCATCAGCTCTCAGTGTACATAAAGAAAAAAATAAAATACATTCATCAAGAATCATAAGATACAACATTTAGTGACAGCCATAGCTTACAATAAGCAATCAAATCATGCACGTGTTTACTCTCTCTCTCTCTCTCTTTAGCAGATTCGCGTCCAGCCGTCTATAAGCGTCGCCAAGCAGTCCGACGTCCAACCCGTGAAACCCAGCCTCAGCCCCACTGGGGCAAGCCCCGAAGACCTGATCCAAACCGGGTTCCGGGCGGCGCCCGAGGGACTCCCCGCCACTGGAGGCAGGGAGGCTGGCGCTCCAAGCAGGGCGTGCGCTAGGACCCGGGGGCCCGCCTCTCAGAGCCGGAGCAGGCACACCTGTTTTCCCGGCTCCGGCTGAACCGAGCGGGCGGGCGGCGGAGCGTGTGTGTGGCCGGCCGGGCTCCGCTGGCAGCGGCAGCAGCAGCAGCAGCGACAGCGGCGGGACCCTCGTTTGCAAGGAAGCGGCCGCGGGCCCCGAAGAGGCGAGAGAGGCGGCCGCGGGCTTCCCACGGGGTGGGTGGGGCTGGCGAGAAGCCGGCTTCCGAGCGGGGCGGCGGGGCTAGGTGGGTGGGATCAACCCCACCGACAGCCGGAGCCGCAAATCTCGCTCCCCACCTGGGAACCGGGCGCTCCGGTGGAGCCGAGTTGACCGGGTGCCGCCCTGCCCGGCCAGCCGGGCCGGTCGGGCGGCCGGGCGCTGGGACTCAGTCTTGCTTTCCCACCTTCTGTGAAATGGGCGCATTTGGAAAGGGCGAGGTCGGCGGCGCCTCCGCCGGGGTGGGGCGCTTCTTTGGCCCTCCTGCCGGCCGTTGCCGAACCAGCTGCCTGGACTCGCCTTGGAAAAGTGGCTGAAGAAGAAGAAGAAGAAGAAGAAGACGAAGGAAGGGGGGGGGAGGGAGGGGGCTTGCATTGGCGAGGCAAGGCGGGTCCAGAAGAGCGTAGGAGGGAGGGGGGGAAAGTGGGCTCCCGGTTCCAGCCGGAGGGTCTTTTTTGGGGTGTGGGTGTGTGGGTGGAACCGGCCCGGGCTGGGCCAGCTGCGAGAGGAAGGAATGGGCCCCGGGCGAGTGGCGGCGGCGACGGCGGACTCCTCGGTGGAAGAATGCTCCGACGCCTCGGGGGGAAGGAGGACCCAACGCCGCCCCCGCCAGGTTTTGCGCCGGGTGGCTTCGCAGGCGGTGACCAGGACCAACCCGCCGCTGGGCATCCTCTTCACCACGCTCCTGTACTGCGGGGAGCTGGCCTCGGCCTGCGTGGTGACCGCCTCCTACAGCCGCTCCGACGACCAGTTCTGGATGGTCCTGACGCTGCTCTTGATGCTGGTCTCCTCCGTCATGGTGCAGCTCACCCTCATCTTCGTCAACCGGGACCTGACCAGCGACAAGCCCTTCATCCTTTTCATGCACCTGGTGCTTCTGGGGCCTCTCATCAGGTGAGTTGGGGCCGGCTCTTCTCTTCCCTTCCCTTCCCTTCCCAACCCAAAACTTGGCTCCTCAACTTGTCTGGTCAGCAGAGTCTCAAGAGGGGTTCAAGGACTACCATGCCCAGAATCCACAAGCGGGGTTCAATTAGGCCCATCTTCCCCCAGTTGTGCAGGGACTACCATACCCAGAATCCACAAGCGGGGTTCAAATAGGCCTATCTTCCCCCAGCTGTGCAGGGACTACCACACCCAGAATCCCCAAACAGGTTCAATTAGGCCTGCCTTCCCCAGCTGTGCAGGGACTACCACGCCCAAAATCCACATTCAGCTTCAAGCTTTTCTCAAAATGCCTTGGGAAGCTTGCGGCTTATGAGAAAACTAGAAAAGCGGTGCTTGGTTAGGTTGTCTTTTGGTAAAGGAGGGTTTGCAATTGTCAAAATGAATTGTCGGAATGAACAAAACCAGATATTTGGGCATTGGAGCTGCCAGACATGCTTGTAAGGTGGGGCTCGTGCATTGTTAACACTCGTCTGTGGTACATTGAAAGATGGTTTGTGGGATAAACCATAATGGGTCAGAGTTACACATGGCTCCGAATACTTAAATCGGGGTTTTACCTCTCATAGAAGTGGCGAGCTGGATGCTAAACTGAGGACCCCAGTTGCATCCCAACAAGGAGAGGCCAAAATGGAGGGAATACATATGCGTTGTGCTTCTTAAGATGAGTGATGGGCAGGCTGAAAATGGCAGCTCAGTTGATTTGAATGTGTACCTTCTCAAAACCAAGATTTCTTGGTTTCAACTCCCAGAATTCCCCAGTCAGCCACGAAAGTTGAATTGAACTCCAGACTATTGGACAATTTTGTGTTCTCTTGCAGGTGTTTCATTACCAAACCAGTTTGATATTCTCACTGGGAGTGAAGTTTCCTCTTATTTTATGCCCTTAATTATGCAAAATGCCACCATTAAAATATAACATGCTATTACAACATAAAACGAGAGCAAACCCCAACTCCCTACTAGCCCTGGGGATGTTACCTAGTTTGGTAATAAAACATCTGCAAGAAAACAGGCTTTTAAAAAGCACCACACTTCAACCCCGAGCTATTCTCTTCCGTTGGAACTCCAGCCATCTTAAAATTTGCCCAAAGTTGAGAAATGCAATCGTAAAAAATATCGGACTATGCTTGCTTTAAAAATTAGTTCCCAGATTAGCCGCGCATCTTCCCACACACCATGCTCATTTTGCTAAGTGGGGTTCTGGCTATTTGTCCTTGATTTTTTTTTTTTTTTTTGGCGTGCTAGAAGCCAAGAGGCAAGTCCAGTTTGGAAGCCAATGTTCTCCGTGGAGGAATGTTGATCAGAACGGAAGGTTGAGCTTCTGCCCTTTCACCAGGAAATGTGATCTTCTCAGAACGTGTAGTATGCTCAAGTGCCCTTGGGAGCTGTGGGAACTGAAGATACTTGTAGTGCCTGAAGTTAGGAAGGCGTGGAATGTTTTTGCTGAGCTACTAACATTGAGAGTGATGGCCCCGTGTGCGGAAGATGAGAGCTCCAGGAAACAGAATAACCGAGTTGGAAGAAAACCTTGGAGGTCTTCTAGTCCAACCCCACCTGCTCAACCTCCCATATAATCTAGGAACTGAAAAGTAGGGCACCGTGCTGGAGGTGTGAGGTTATTTTTGCATATATATATATTTATTTTATTCAAGACAAGGTTCAAATACAAAATACAAAACTCCCCAAAAATCCAAATAAAAAGAAAATAAAATGAAAAAAAAAAAAAACCCACCACAAAACGATAAAAACATTAAAAAAGAAAAAGATCCATCAAAAAAAGGACATTTATCCCCCCCCTAATTGAATACTGATTAATACACATTGCTACCACATTAGTTCCCACCCCATGCAAAACAGGCCCGCCCCAAAATTTTAAGCTACTAAATCAATTTGCAAATTTATTGACCCGCCTTCTATATATGATACTAGCGACAAAGTAGTCAACAAGAAAAAAAAAATGCTGATATTAAAACAAAACAAAATTAAATTTTTGAACCTCTCTGTTGGAGGCATGAGATTATTAAGCTCTGCCTGTTCACCTAATTATGTTGTTGCTCTTCCATTCGTCCTTTAGGAGAGGGAATTCCCCCTTTAGACAGGTGTTGCTAAGTTCCTGTCTTCTTGACAGTGATGGGATACAATTTTTTTTACTACCGGTTCTGTGGGCGTGGCAGGGGAAGGATATACTGCAAAATCCCCATTCCCTCCCCACCACACTAACCTGCTTTCCAGCTCCGTTCTCCTGTGTAGGGCGACTAAAGAAGACTCAGCCAATCAGCTGGGACTCGGGAGGCAGAGAATAGATATGGTTGGCGGAGCCAGTCAGAGGCTGGATTGGCCGGTTCTCCAACCTACTCAAAATTTCCGCTACCGGTTCTTCAGAACTGGTCAGAACCGGCTGAATACCACCACCTCTGCTTCTTGGTGATGTCAAAGATTCCCCTGTCAACTTTCTTTGCTTTTTTTTAAAAAAAATTCAAGGTTGTTGACTCCATTTTTTTTCCCTCCGACGATATTAACGGACCGAACTTGAAATCTAGGTTGACAAAAACAAAATTGCAACATTGCCTTGGTGACATCATGACATTTGAGGTGTTATTTTGAGAGAATTGGGGCATCTGCCACACTCAGTGAGTTCTTCACCACACTTCTCCTTTCTTCTTCCTTCTGGGGTCCGGTTTCCACACCTCCTTTACCCAGCTCAGCTACCAAGAAATCCAGTTAAATCTCCTTGTGGTGGTACAGTGGTTAGAATACAGAATTGCAGGCAAACTCTGCCCGCATCCTGGAGTTCGATCCTCACTGGTTGACTCAGCTTTCAAGGTTGACTCAGCCTTCCATCCTTCCAAGGTGGGTAAAATGAGGACCCAGATTTTTGGGGGCAAGAGGCTGACTCTGTAAACCGCTTAGAGAGGGCTGTAAAGCACTATAAAGTGGTATATAAGTCTAAGTGCTATTGCTATTCCTTCCTTTCTTCCTTCCCCTCTCCCCTCCCCATCCATCCATCCCAGCTCAAGGATGACTCAGCCTTCCATCCGTCTGATGTAAAACGAGGACCCAGATTGTTGGGCACAATAGGCTGACTGTAAATCGGTTATAGAAGGGCTGTAAAAGCACTGTGAAGCGGTATAAAAATCTAAGTGTATTGCTATCAGGAACCCTGGTGGCACTGTGGTTATATTGCAGTATTGCAGGCAAACTCTGCCCACCGCCAGCAGTCCGATCCTGACCGACTCAAGGTAGACTCAAGCCTTCCATACTTCTGAGGTCAGTAAAATGAGGACCCGGATCGTTGGGGGGTGCAATGTGCTGACATGTGTTAACTGCCCAGAGAGTGCTGTCAAGCACTATGAGTGACATATAAATCTAGGTCCTATTGCTGTTCTTATTATTGAGAAGCCCATAACTACTTTAGCTGGATGAAAACCTTCCACCTGGAGCATGGAATTCCTGTCCACAGGAAGGTATTTTGTCAATCTTTAAACCAGAAGAAGACTGACCAGGACACTTTGTCTTTTCCAGATCACTTGAAATGGCACCTAGAAGGATACAAAGATTTTTAATATAAGGGCCTATTTATGTACTTAAGTTATCAGGCGTGATCAGTTTGATAATACCCATTCCACTTTAAGATAAAAGTAAGGTAAACATTATATTGGAACACAAAAGGCCCTGTAACTCGAATGAAAAGCAGGCTGGACTTCTTCAGTTTATTTCAAGTGTCCAACCCTTCAAACCAGACCAGGTCAGGTGCCGTAGAGATTCCAGGAATAATCTATAATAATACAGTAGGGCATAAAAAGACAATCTGGAAACTCTACCCGAGCTTTTTTCTGTCTTTTCTTATAGTAAACAAAGTCAAGGCAGGATTATCTTGAGTTTCTTTTTCACAGTTTCTTCAACTTCTGGAGGGGACTGGAGGCTAAAACATATGAGCGTTTGCAGGAACCAGGCATGGCTAGTCTAGTGAAGAGAAGGACCAGAGGAGGCGTGATAGCAGTCTTGCAATATTTGAGGGGCTGCCACAGAGAGGAAAGGAGCAAGCTATTTTCCAAAGCAGCTGAAGGCCAGACAATGAATAATGGATGGAAACTGAACAAGGAGAGATTCAACCTAGAAATAAGGAAAAACTTTCTGACAGTGAGAGCAATCAACCCATGGAACAGAAGTTGCCTTCAGAAGTTGCGGGAGCTTCATCCTTGGAAGCTTTCAAGAAGAGACTGAACTGCCATCTGTCAGATAATGGTGTAGGGTCTCCTGCTGGGGTGGGGGGTTGGACTAGATGACCCACAAGGTCCCTTCTAACTCTGTTAATCTGTTAATCTTCCCCAAGTTGCTTCTTGGAACACGGTCATCTCTAAATTGCCTTTTTTAAAAATTGAGGTTGGAAATTGAGGTTCTTCAGATTTGGTTGCAGCATTGCTGAGCTTCAGTTTTCAGATGTCAAGAGTCACAGTTTTCCACACCAGTCTGTTCCTTGATCCTTTCTAAGTGGCAACCCTACTACGGTGAGGCCTTCTACATTGATCTTGTGCTACATGGCCATTTGGAGCACGATACAGATACACATTGTCGTGGGACATGACCTGTAGGGAACTGCTGGGTGCGGAAAAGAGAAGTATTTTGGCCCGCTGTTCTAATTCTGGAAGATGCCATCAGATCACTATTTGATGGGTTGCAGATTCAAGATGTACGCAAGAAGGAACATCTCCACTTGGTAGGTTCAAGAGCGATAAAAGGAAGGAATTTAGCTTTTTACAAAGCTCAAGGCTAACGGCTAGCGATCCACTATTAGATCAAACGATTTCAACTATTTATCACTAAGCAAACTCTTTCCCAATCCCAGAAGTCTTGGTAGACAACAGCAGCCCCCACAAACACACCAGCCAATTGCATTAGGCTTAGCTGGGATAGGAAATTCCAGGAGCTTCAAGCTACACTGGGCAGTTTGAAATGAAATCACAACAACTCAAATCGACAGAAGGCAAAGCAAACTGTTGCCTTATTATAGCCAAGAAAAACAGAACGGGTACGTCCATTAGGACTCTATATGAAGAAAAAACTTTCCCTTAAATGGAGGAGTTTCCTGAAAAATCTTGCACGCATCCCTCCCAGCTGCAAACTTGGCTAGAAAAAATGGTTATATATCTCAGACGAGGGAAGGAGGTGGTTAAAATTATGGGGAATAATAAAAAGTTGCTGTATTTTTTGAAACTTGAACGGAGTCCAAGGTTTTGTTCTAGCTTCTTCCATTTGCCTGCTCTGGCCTGGCTTATTTGGGAAATGTGGCTTGCAGCCCTTGACCCAAAGACCACCCAGCCTACAACCATTTTTAAAACTGTTTTTTTTTTTTTTTGGTATCATAGTTTGCAGAGACAGAGCAATGCTGGAAATGGGAGGGTTGAATTCTGTTAATTCCCCCATGGCAGTGGTGGGATTCAAATTTTTTTACTACTGGTTCCGTGGGCGTGGCTTGGTGGGCGTGGCAGGGGAAGGATACTGCAAAATCCCCATTCTCTCCCCCCCATACCCGCTAACCTGCTTTCCAGCTCTGTTTTCCCGTGCAGAGCAACCCATGAAGACCCAGCCAATCATCTGGGACTCAATGGGAGGCAAAGAATAGATGGGGTTGGCGGGGCCAGTCAGAGGTGGGATTGGCCGGTTCTCTGAACTACTCAAAATTTCCGCTCCCAGTTCTCCAGAACTGGTCAGAACCTGCTGAATGCCACCTCTGCTCCATGGGATACCTTCTAGCTGGGTTGGAGTTCAGCTCCCATAATTCCTGGGCCGGCGCCAAATTGAATGTCAGAACAGATGGAGAGCACCAAGGACTCTAGTTGTGTTTGCGTGATACAAACTAAGCATCCCAGCCTTGGTGCCGAGTGTAGAGTCCAGCGGTTCATACCAACCCGGAAAAACGATTTCATTGTATAAACTAGGTTTACACTTACCATGATTAAATATGAATATATTAATCCGCTAACAGCCAGTAAGTTAAATTTTGGATAGATGATTCTGTAAGTCTTTGACTTAACAACCACAGCTGGAGTCAAATTAAAAACAAAACCAAAGGAGAAATGCTCTTCCCCTTTTGCATTTGAGCATGCAAGAAGGGGACAGGAAAGGAGAAAGGAAAAGAGGAAAGGAGGAGAAGGGAAGATGGGAAGAGAGGAAGGAAGGAAAAATAAAGAAACGGGGGAAGGAAGAAGAAAGGAGAATAAAGAGTGAACGAAAAAGAAGAAAAGGAAAAAGAAAGAAGGAAGAGAGAAGGAAAAAGAAGGGAGGGAAAGAAGGAAGGAGATTATAATGAGAGGGAGGGAAGGTGTGAGGCAAGTCCTGCCTTAGCACTTGGACCCCACAGGTGTCCCCAAACAGGATTGATGTCGAGCTGGCCACACACACCCTGCCCTCCCCCAGCCCCCCCCCCCTCCCCAGGTCAAACACAACGGCCCTCCATGAAATCGCATTTGACACCCCTGTGCTAAAGGAATCATTGTCGGTTGGTCGATCTGTCCTTGAGGAGGGCAGCTTTGATAGGGTGCCAAAATATATCTTAGTTCTCCTGCACAGGTTGGTTGCTTTTTACCCCCTTTCTTCTGCAGGCTCCTTCAGAAAATGCAACCCGTGGGGTCCCCTCACCCCCTCACCATTTGCTAGCTCGCAGCAGCATCCGAGGTGTCAGCCAGCAAACCAGCATCCCTCCGATCGGAGCCAGGAGACGAGGCGAGGTCCAAGTGCCCCTCCCTCCCTCCCTTGTTCTTTCTTTGGCCCTCTTCTGCACCCTGTTCCACCCTTTGGTTTGTAGCTCCCTGGCCTGCCTTCATCAATGAGAACAGAGCCAGCTTGTCTGTGGCTCTATTTTCAGCATGGGGAGGTCAACAAAGAACCCTTTTCTACGCTGACTGTTTGCACGCCGCACCTCCCTTTCCTTCCAAAGCCGATGAGAAGGGGTTTTTTGTGTGTGAAAGCCGTTAAGGTAGTTCACCCTGGTAGGGGCTCTGGCTTGGGTTGGGTTGAAGGTGAAACCACCTAAAAATAATAATTTTGCTGGTAACGCTCGCCCTGCAAATAGGCTGAGCTCTTTCATAAGGCATGGCTCTTACAGCTGGGCCTCGCACATGCAGAATTCAATAGTAGAACTTTGGAAGGTTTTTGAGATCTGTTTCTGTTTAGAAATTAAAAACCTTGCCTTTTCTGGAAAGTAGATTTCGAGGGGAAAGGTGTTGCAGAAAGAAATCCCTTTCAGAGGGGAAAGGAAATATGTTTAGAGGAAGAGGAAGTAAAGGGACAAGTTTAGCACAGAAAGAGGAATCTTTATTCTCTGTGGAAAAAAATAAATAATAAAAATAGACTAACCTAAAAAACAGTTCAGTGTCTTAACCCATACAAAAAACACTCCTCTTCTGTGTGAGCCAGCTCATGTGGATGCCAAGCCATGATTTATGGTCTGGCATGCCAGTCTAGCACAGCACAGTATGAAAGGCTAGCCTGTTGCGACTTATCACAGTTAAGCCACCATATGGCTTATGAACTTTATTTTTAAGATTGCACGGCATTTATTTTTGGAGGTAGATTAACCTGAATCTTTCAAGAAATATTTATCCAGAGCAGGTAATTGCGTTATCCTTTTCTATCCAAGACAACAACTTGTCTTATGGCTTCTCAAAACCAATTTATTACTGCCTAAACTTGGCTTGCTTCTTCAGATGCATCAGAATGAAGTGATATGTGGCTCACCGAAGCAGAAAGCTTAATACGTTTGCAGCTCCTTAAGGTGCCCCAAGACATTTCCTTCTGGAATGTGCCTTTTGAGTCAGTTCCCAAGACATGGCATCGTGGTTTCATTTGGACGTTGGCCAACTCCTGCGCGCTGCCTTTCTAACAAACCTATCTGTCTCATAGCTCACTGGAAACTGTTTACGAGGTTTGCAAAATCTAGGAATTTCAAGGTCCGTCTGAGTCAGTTGGAGGGAAAACACAGTCTTGCCTCTCGTGTTGTGCTGCTGGCGGAAGGCGTGGACTCTCAGGCTCAGCCTGGGCAGGTCTCTCTGGGACTGTGGGAAAATCTTGAGCCCAGCTGCTGTAGAAAGTGGGACGTCTAAGGCCCAGGCTTCTGCAGGAGGAAATCAATTCTAGATTGTAGGCTAGGGCTAGACATCCGGTGCTCCATTACAATAAGCCACAAATAACAGTAGATTCAGTGTATGCCTATCCTGAATAGAGGCTTTCTGGTTTCTTCCTTGCATCACCGTGGCAGGAGGACAGCTCCCCGCGATTTGTTTTCATTTTTTGGAATGAGCTGTTGAGTGGTCCCAGTTGCAGCTTTGTTGTGTGGTTTCGGGGTTGCTCGGGGTTTGCTTGTAGTCAGGCAGACATTGCTGCTGAAGTGAGGACCAACACGTTTGTCAGGGAGTGGTTCTAGACAGCATACTAAAAAGCAGAGACATCACCCTGCCGACAAAAGTGCATACAGTCAAGGCTGTGGTTTTCCCAGTTGCAATGCATGGCTGTGAAAGTTGGACCATAAGGAAGGCTGAGTGTCAAAGAATGGAGGCCTTTGAACTCTGGTGCTGGAGAAGACTCCTGCGAGTCCCTTGGGCTGCAAGGCCATCCACCCGGTCAGTCCTAGAGGAGATCCACCCTGACTGCTCTTTAGAAGGCCAGATCCTGAAGATGAAACTCCAAGACTTTGGCCACCTCATGAGAAGGAAGGACTCGCTGGAGAAGAGCCGAATGCTGGGAATGACTGAGGGCAAGAGAAGAGGAAGAGGAGAGCAGAGAAGGAGGTGGCTGGAGGGAGTCACTGAAGCAGTCAGTCAGCGTGAGCTTTAAAGGACTCTGGAACATGGTAGAGGACAGGAAGGTCTGGAGGAATGTTGTCCATGGGGTCGCGATGGGTCGGACAACTAACAACAACAAAAGGACAGAGAAGGTTGTGAAGATTCCTGGAATTGTAGCTCCAGACTGTTGAGGGTCTCAAGTTATCTAGCACAGGCCTTTTCAAACTTTTGTTCTGAACCCTAGGACTTGATGGGATTCCATCAAGAAGAAGACCACAAAAAATGACACATGTGGTTCTTGACTTAACAACCATTCGTTTTGTGACAAAGGTATAACGGCACTGAAAAATAGTGACTACGACCAGGTTTTTTGCACTTACAGCCAGCATAACAAACACAAACACTCACTCACACACACACACACAAATCATGTGATCAGAAGGTGGACATTGGTGTTTTGATTTTGTTTTATTATTTCCTGAGTTTGCCAGCCTCTGAAGGGAAGAGTAAGTAAGAAAGTTAAGATTGGCATTCGTATTGTTAAGCAAATAAAATAGCCAGGCAACATGATGTTTATTAAGCGCTAAGAAAAGTAATTGATAGAAAATTAATAAAATTTATTTTTAAAAAAGGCTAAGTATTGATCTGCGCCCAGAAGGCTGAATGTTTTTTTAACGATGCGGATTGGCAAACCTGTCTGCTTCCTCCCTCCCTGGAGGTAGGGAGGATGGAAGTAGAGTGGAATATTTTATTCCCCCCCCCCTTTCCTTTCCTGCAGATGTTTGGAGTCCATAGTGATGTTCTACCGCCAAGGCCGGGAGGAGGAGCCATACGTCACCATCACCCGCAAGAAGCATCTCCACAGCGACTGCGAGATCGAGATTGAGCAGGAAGTGGGACACTTGGTGCGCCGGCTGGCCACGCACCGTAATGCTTTCAAGCGCATGGCGGTCATTCAGGCCTTCCTGGGTTCCACCCCGCAGCTCACCCTACAGCTTTACGTCACTGTAGTAGAGGAGCAGGTCCCGCCCAGCAGAGGTGAGGACAGAACAGGGCCAAAGGATGGGAGGGGAAAGGAAACTGAAGGGATGGTGGGTAGAGGAGGTCCTGTCAGTGTGTGAGAGTTGAGGGCTGTTTGGAAACAGAAACAGTATTTGCTGTGTGAGGGGAAAAAAGGAAACAGCAAGGAGCCTGGGTATGGCTTAGCTCAACAGTTGCTTGGTGCTGTGAAACTGCAACTCCTCTCCTCTGCTTGCGTTTTGCATTTGGAACAGATTTCTTTTCAGGTGGGGAGGGGGAGTAGAACTCCTTAGCATCAGAGCGTGTTAATAATAAATATACAAAATATTAATGCTCCGATGGTCATTTCGAAAAATCCTTTCTTAGTGAGCACCTAGAAGCCAAGAGGAACATACGTGCCAAATTTCAAGTTTGTAGCCTTTACAGTTCTGGAGATTTTGTGATCATGCGTGAGTGGTATTTCGCACATATATATATGTGTTTTCTTAAGTTTTCGCGGGTATTTATATGTATGGCATTCAGCTTTGTTCGGGTATTTTCCCACGTCATTATAGTTGTGCTTTTAAACGTTGTTACAACTTTAAAAGCACAACTATAATGACGTGGGAAAATACCCGAACAAAGTTGAATACCATATATATATATTTATATTTATTATAGTTTTTCCTTTAACATCCATAAGTGCTTAGTCAACAATGTATTGTCTGGATCGAATCTACTTTATATACAATACTAATAACAATGATACAATTTAGATATACACAGTCATAATCTTTCCACTTCTAACATTTGCGTATACGTGGTAATAATACATTCTATTATACTGTATATCAGTATATATAATACTATTTACCCAATTTTTACTACCTCTTTTTTTTCTACCTCTTAATAAAATACCCCCCCATGTGAAGAAGCATTCTATATCTATCCATCATCTCTTTCTTTTTTTAAGATTTCAACTCTTATTGACTTTTTGGTAAATCTTTCACGCTTCTCCCTTGGGATCTTGCAGCGCCTTCCATCACACTTATTTAATCTAAGTATTTCGTCTGCCTCAATACCTCTCCCTTTGCTGTTGCTGCTCTTGCTTTTGCAAAATAAATAAATAAAAGGATTCTTTTATGGCCGCTGCCAGTGAGCTTTTAAAGACTTGCAAAAGAGATTTTCAGCCAGAGCCTTGGCTCGGTTGCCAACGATCTCAAAAGGGATCAATCTAGACTCTTCCAGAGGATTCTATAATCCCTTTTAAGACTAGAGAGCAGAGTCCATGTTTTTAAAGCTTAGAAAAACTGCAGCTCCCCATGGCTGGAAAACAAAAGATTGCTTAAAAGGCTCAGAAAAACGCCTGGTCGGTGAATTTTTGACAATCAAGCCTCAGGAAGATGGGCTCTGCTAGGTGTATACATTCAGTAATGCAGGAAGTTAGCACCTACCCCTCTCCTAGAAAAATGAAATATCTTGGGAGATATTAAAAAGGGGGAATATTTCCCCTAAAAAGGGTAGAAACTCAGAAGCAGAAACTCCCTTCAGAAATAGAAGCTCACCCCCACCTTTGTTAATGGTTGGGCCATTAAGGCCAGAATACTTTACATAACAAAGATCTCCAGGTAAAGCTATGGCAGTTGCTCAAAAGCCCTTTCAGTGCATCATTATCTAGCAAGGCTCAACCAAGCCTGGAACTCAGGACAGTCTACAGAGTTGCCCCTGCATGGCCGCATGGGAGTCTGACAGCCAATTAGAAACAAGCTTCAATTCAAATCCCAACAAAGGTTATAAAACTCAGGCACCCTCAGCATATCATCCCTTCTCTTTTCCTTCACCTTGGAGCATGTGATCATCCTTCTTTGGAGCTTCAAGCCATGTGGTCCTGCTGTCCACTATTAAACCACCTTCCAAACAGTCTCCATGTTTCCAGTGTCTTTTTCCCTACTTGGAACTGAACCCAGAAGGATAATTATTCCAACAGTAGGTGTGGCTTTCTGTGATCCTGGTTTCATGGAAGCTTCTGTGCAATTCCCAGAGGCGTGGTTCAATAATTAGTATTTATAAAATCGACTGCAGGTATTTTAATTGCCAAGCACGAAGGCATTTCACCATCTGCCTTCCGAGAGGGATGTCACCTTGGAAACACGCAAGTCAGGTAACATACACACACCCATCCAACCGATCCAGTGTGAGTCAGTGCTTTAAACAGCCTACCTCATCCTGATGTTTTCCAGATGTGCACGGTGATGTCAAGTTTAATCCCCTTCCAGGAATTCCTCTTCCTTTCCTCTTCCTGAATGAATGAATGGCTCCTTTCTTGCAATCTTAGATAGACCTATATGCAGGCAGTCCTCAAGTTTACAACAGGTCAATTCTATTCAGAGTTTTGCAGCGTTAATTCAGCACCAGAAAAATTAAACCCAGGTAACTGATGCTTCATGTAACACTTTTATAAACATAATAAGTGGATTTTACAAGCCAGTTGTAGATTTCTCCAACATGGAGCAAACTCGGACAGAAACATGTTGCAAGTTCAGAGCAGAGCTCCAGTCTTCAGCAAGCAAGCAAGTTAGTTTCTCATTTACTTTAGTTCAGCAAGCAAATGAGAGGAGAGGAGCAGTTTTCTTTTCAATGGACAGACTCAGAGCTCCACATAGCTGCAGAGTTGCAGAGTGTAATACAGAGCCACACCTAGGCTACATCTAGTTTCAGTTTCCAAACTGTCCTTGTTGGCTGATTTAGTTTAATGCCTATTCATTGGCTGGCCTTGTTACCATGCTCTATTCCAATTCATGAATATATTCTTTGACAAATTCATGACTCTTCGAAGTTACAATGATCCTGGAAAAAAAGGACCGACTGCCATTTTTCCACACTTATGACCGTTTCAGCATCCCCACAGTCACGCGATTTGCATTCGGATGCTTGACATCTGACTCACAGTTATGAGGGTTGCAGTGTCCCACTTTACAGTGATCCCTTTTTGCAAACCTTCCGACAAACCAAGTCAATGGGGACGCCAGATTCATTTAATGACTGTGTTACTAATTTAAGGATGGCCGTGATTCACTGAACAGACGTGGCGAGGAAGATCGTAACGTGAGACAAAACTCCACAGAATGTCTCAGCCGCATCAATTTTAGGCTGAATTGCGGCCTTAAGTTGAGGGCTACCTGTATTGACTGAAACGATCGATGTAAAAGTCAGGTCAAAGGTTTAGTCGTAAAATGAGCACATATAAATCTTTTTTTTTTAAAAAAAAACTGGACTCAAAATTTACATGACTAATTCAGCTCACAATAGGGGGTTCCAGGTATGGGGTGAAAATCAGGAATCTGATAGCTTAATCTCACAAAGGTCTTTTAATAAGGCGTATTAGTCAGAAAAGACTCTACAATACTAATATCCTTGTCCAAAGCAATGTTTGAAATGGTATAGGCCAGGGTTTCCTGCCTGAGCAGGGGGTTGGACTAGAAGACCTCCAAGGTCCCTTCCAACTCTGTTTATTTTATATTCCTATTCCATTCCATTCCAAATTTTCTCTTGTCTTCTCTTCTCTTCTCTTCTCTTCTCTTCTCTTCTCTTCTCTTCTCTTCTCTTCTCTTCTCTTCTATTCTATTCTATTCCATTCCATTCCATTCCATTCCATATTTTCTATTCCATTTCACATTTTCTATTCCATTCCATTCTATTCTACAGTAGATGTTCCATATGGAAGTTCCTCACATAGGAGACATACATAACTTTCATATCCCCTCCTTGGAAACCAGGAGAAATTTTTGTGTTTATAGAGCATTTACCCTGGGTGTTTTTTTCCCCCATATATTCATAGAGTATCCCATATATTCTCAGAGTATCATCAGTCCCTGTAAATGTAAAACAGGGTTTCACAACTAATGTTTGAGATTCTGTTAACAGACATTGAATGTATATTTGTGTGGATGGCTTGGGAATTTTTTAAAGTCAATTCCGCATCAGCCTTTGCCAAGGAGTCACTGACAAAATGTGCTTTTTCCTCATGTTGTATATCCTCCATATTTATCCGCAAGGATTTGCTAAACCAGGGGTTGCCGACCTTTTGGACCTCAGGGACCACCAAACTCATAATTTTCAATCCCATGGACTAGAAACCCTGGGAAAATCCCCCCCCAAACTCTGCAGGAAAATTCCCCACCCCATTTTCCTACCGATCGATCGTTCTTTATTTGGGATCGCAGGATACTGTCTCCAGCTCTGTTCTCGGTGGGAGAGAGAGAGAGACTTTTGGCTTCATGCAAGGAAAGCAGCAGAAGCAGCAGAAGTCTTTCTTTCTTTCCCTCAAACTCTTCCAGAAATGAGTCTTTGTGAGACTCGTCATTCCAGTGCGGCCTCTTGGAGCAGGAGGCCTTGCAGGGTCCCAAAGACTCATTTATGGCAGAGTTTGGGGGAGAGAAAGAAAGACTTTTGCTGCTTTCCTTGCATGCGGCCAAAAGCAGAAGAAAAAAGCAGAAAGCAGCAGCCTGGTGGCCAGGCAAGTCGTGTGGGGCAAGTGGAGCAAGTTCCCCCCCCGCCCTTCCCCCCCTTCCCCTCACTACCTTGTGTTGTTCACAATGTAAGCGACACAAGCCTTGTGTTCCCGCGGGCCATGTGGGCGGCGCAGCCTTGTATTCACATGCAGCCTGGATTAATTGCTTTGGGGGTGACATTTCTCCGCGGACCACCAAAATTTTCTCGTGGACCGCCAGTGGTCCCCGCCCACTGGTTGGTGACCACTGCTCTTAACCCCTCCTGAGCAGATTTAACCCAACCAAGAATTGGATGAAGGGAATAGAAGTTAAAATGTCTCAGGCTTTCCCATCCAAACTCTCTGAGCTTGGCTAAGTTGCGGTCAAAGAAATGAACTAGCCCCTAAATCTACAAAAATTCCATCTTTGTATAGAAAATAATACATGGAATCCTCTCCTACAAAACTTGGTGTAGATTAAAGTGAAAAGCTATTTTGGATTTTACCAGGGCCGCCTCCTGCTTGACTAACCAGTCTCACTGGTTTCTTTTGGCTTGGCTCAGCACACGGTTTTTCCTCTAACTCCTTCTGAACATTCAATATAGATTCTGGAAAAAGAAAGGAGGCACACTCCAGGGCAGCAAATGTCATTCTCTCTCCCTCACCTCCCCAGTTGCAAACAACTTCCACCCCACTCCCAATTGCAGGCCCCTTTCCTTTGCCGGGGACTGATATCCACCGCTCCAGCATTCGTTTGGATCTGGGATTTCTACCCTCTGTGCAGGGGTAGGCTGCAAATTTTTTAACAACCGGTTCTCTGGCTGGGTAGGCACAGCCGGTTGGTCAGGTGACTGGGTGGGTGATATCACTCATCACACCCAGCCCTGCCTCCCGGCCACTCGCCCCAAGGACAGAGGTAGGATTCAGCCAGTTGGGTCTAATCCCACCAAGGGCTGGCCCCGCCCCACCTGTTTTTCGGGCTGTGTTTTGGCTGTTTTGGCCCAAAAAACAAGTGGGGGTGGGGCCAGCCAGTGGTGGGATTTTGGGGGGCTGTTTTTTTGGCTGTTTTTAGCCCCGAAAAAGGCCAAAAAAACAGGCCGAAAAACAAGCAGGAGTGGGGCCAACCAGTGGTGGGATTTTCTGGTTCGCTGAACTACGCAGAATCTTAACCACCGGCTCGCATAAACCGGTGCAAAACAGCAGCAGCCCACCTCTGCCAATATTAGTGATGGCTAACCTTTTCGTCGTCACGTACCTCTAATTTTTTCAGGTTGATAATGGTTGCTCTTCATTGCTCACCTTTCATCTTTCCTTCCCTTCTAGCTGTCCTGATGACCATGTGCTTACTCTCGGTCACGTACGGGGCATTGGTCTGCAACACCCTGGCCATCCAGATCAAGTACGACGACTACAAGATCCACCTCCACCCGCTGGCCTTTATCTGCATCATTTTGTGGAGGAGTTTGGAGATCTCAACTCGCGTCACCATCTTGGTCCTCTTTGGCACCGTCTTCAAATATTACGGCTTGGCAGTCGGGGCGGCCAACTTCTTGGTCTTCTTCTTCTTACCATGGGTCGAGTTTTGGAGAAGTGGGGCCAAGCTGCCCGAGAACGTGGAGAAAAACTTCAGCCGGGTGGGAACTTTGACTGTCCTGATTTGCATCACTCTGCTCTATGGGGGCATCAACGTCTTCTGTTGGTCAGCTGTCCAGCTCAGGTTGTCCAGGCGAGACTTGATTGTCAGGTCCCAAAACTGGGGCTGTTTAGCTTTATTCTACGTGTTCCGGGGACTGGAGAACAGCCTGCTGCTCCTGGTCTGGTACTTCTTCAAGACGGACCTCTATGAGTACCTCTGCACGCCCATGCTTGTGTTGCAGCTGCTTGTGGCGTACTGTCTGGCCATTGTCTTCATGCTTTCTTTCATGCAGTACTTGCATCCCTGCCGCCGCCTCTTCACGCACAACGTCACGGACTTCTTGCATTGCGTCTGTTGCCGGAAGGAAGACCTTGCCTTCTCCGTCGATTTAGAACCACCTCATGAACCCGGTGTGAGGCACAGTGTGGTATGACAATCAGCACCCTGATGATGAACCCCGTCTGGTTTCAAGTTTCAGCAGTGGTACCTGTTTACTCCACCGTAAGCCTTAATTTCATGGTGCTATGCTATAATTTATCAATAGGGACGCAGGCCATCGTGGCGGTGATGGCTTCTGGAGCATCAGTGGACTTATGGTGGGCTGTCAGAATATACCCTTTGCCGTTGTTGGTGCAGGACTAGGGCAATCCGCAGTAGAAGACTTGACACATAGTGTGAAAGAGGAACTCTAGTTGATGGGGCAAACCATCAGTGAAGGATGGACTTGCTCTTCTAAGGAGCCAGCAGTTTGGCTTTGGAACTGTCTTGATTATGCTCATGTCCAGAAACGGAGCTGAAGGACACTCAGCTGGCTCAGAACGATTGTAAGAAGAGGGTTTGCAGAAGAGAGGTCAACGGAGACTGTCTCATATCTGTTGGATCTCGCACGGTTGGGTGGAACTTCAGAATCACTTCTCCGGCCGTTCCTTCTATTTATTTGAAAACTTGTGATGACTTTATTTGTTTTGTAATTTGAAGTGCTGGAAAAGATGTTGCAGTTCATAGCAACTTGGTCTCAGCATTTGTTTGGGTTCCTACAGTTCCATCTATGGTCAGGGGGTCCGTGCTCACGCTGAAAGCTCAGGATGATGAGTGTCCTAAGGGAGCCCCATTGATGGAGGATGAGCTTTGGATTTCTTGCCTCCAGACCATCAGAGGTGCCACAGCAGACTGGCCTTCCCAACTGCCCTGGAAGGACCAAGCTAGCAGCCGACTACTACATTAGGGGCTTTCTTCAAGGGAGAAAGGGCTGAAGTTGAACGTGTTGAGCTTGTGATGGGAAACTAGACCATTCCACATCCAAGTTCTGGTTCTAGGAGGTGATCAGCTCATGATAGTTTGAGCTTTCACCTGGGGAGGTAAGCATTTCCCAACCACTTGGCTGGACCCCATGCAAAGATATACAGTAGAACCTCTGGTCACAACCATAATTTGTTCCATAACTTTGGTGATTTCTTCATCTTCTGTTTCATCTTCAGGAATTTCTGGGTCAGGGGTCATGTTTGATCACCACCTGAGAATGTGTTTGTGACCAGATTCAAACATTTTATGAATTTTTGGGTTGGAACCTGATTTGGCCACGGTCAGAAGTGTTCGGGACCAGAGGTTCTACTGTACTTAAAGAACCCATTATGTTGAAATGCTCAGGTCTACCAACCCAATTTGGCCAAGCTTCTTGGCCTCCCCAAACACTTCCCACTTTGTGCAGTGCAAGGCTGTTTCTGAACACAAGCTCATCCAGTAGGTGAGTCTTCAATCCAAATGCTTGGGAGGAATACGGGTTTTCATGCCGAGTTGCATCTTTGACCTGCAACAATTTCCTTGTATGTACTAACTTCTTCTTGTAATTCTCCTCTATTGAGCTAATACAGGGTTGTCCGAACTTGGCAACGTTAAGACCTGGGGACTTCAACTCCCAAAATTCCTCAGCAGCATGGACGGCTGAGGAATTCTGGAAGTCCACAGGTCTTAAAAAATTGCCAAGTTTGGAGACCCCCTTAGCTAACAAATAGTGGCCAGACTCTGAGTTAAAGGATCACTCTTATGTGGGATTTTGGTGCCCTTACATGGAGAGTTTGATCTGTGACCATCCTTCCTCTTCATGGTTATTTCTGTCCCAAGGAGCAGGGTGAACAAGATGTTTGGTAGTGCAGTGGTTAGAGCGCAGTACTGCAGGCTACTTCTGCCAACTGCCAGCTGTCTGCAATTTAGCAGTTCAAATCCCACCAGGCTCATGGTTGACTCAGCCTTCCATCCTTCCGAGGTCAGTAAAATGAGGACCCAGATTGTTGGGGGCAATAGGCTTCTCTCTGTAAACCGCTTGGAGAGGGCTGTAAAGCTAAGGCTATTGCTATTCAGTAGTAATAATTCAGAAAGAAAGGAAAAACCAGAGGAGGAGGATGAAGGTGAGGCAACAGAGAATAGAAGCAGCACTCTAATTGGATGATAGCCCCTGTCCTCATAACTACCCATAATGCACTGCCATATGGCTATCAGCCTGTGACCACCCAATGTTGGTTGGCGTCGGGGCAAAACCAGATCCAAAGCCCCGAATCCCCTAATAACCAGAAGAAGATACCCAATTGATGCTAAGCCCAAGAGTAGGAGAAACACAATATAATCCAACTGATGGCCTCTCCGGAGCACTTTGGATGGTCTCACTTGTATAGTGATTTTCGGGTCAGCCTTTTCCAACCTTCCAGATATTATGCTTTGTGATTCTTACCATCAACAGCTAATAGGTAAAGGTTAGAGAAGGCTGCCTTTGATTGACAAGGATTCTCAGACCCTGTCCATCTTCTTACTCCTCCCCCCCACCCCCATTCTTGACTGCAAATAGGAAGGAAAAAAAGGGAGTATCTTTAGAAACAAAATAGTCCATTCTGGATTGGCTTTTAAATAGCCTGGTTTGAATCTGTAACATTCGTTTAAATTATCATTTGTGTCTTTGCTTCAACCAAGGCAAGGCATTCATTCGTGACTGAGACCGAGACACCTCCAACCTGAAACAGACCCGACTTCAGGGGAACATTCAGACCCCTCTGCCTTCCTCCGCTTCATGTTGAACAGGAGTGTGTGTCTGTCAGCAATGCAGCATAAGCCAACGTAGCAGATACTAGCCTGAGCCAACCCTTGGGTAGAGTGTCACCCGCTCCCGTTGGCTTTCTGAGGACAGCTGAACCCAGCTGAGAGCTGAGCCAGCAAGCCAGGACCACCTACCTCAAGGAGAGATTTCACCACGGCCTTTTCGATTGCCGTTCTCGGGGATTAAACCAGGCATCCAAATCAGGTTTTGGGACCAGGCAATCATAAGACTAGAGGCACAAATTTATTTTCCCTGGTTCTCTCTTTTTTTTTAATGCATAATTTCCTGCATTGTGACCAGGAATATATGTGGTTTTTCATGATTGATGGTTTTTCCCTCTTTCCCTTGTCCCGTCTCTTCTCTTCTCTTCTCTTCTCTTCTCTTCTCTTCTCTTCTCTTCTCTTCTCTTCTCTTCTCTTCTCTTCTCCCCTCCCCTTAAGCGAAGGAGCCTACATTTAGGAATTTGGGAAGTAGACAAGTGCAGCAATTAAAAAATTGTCCTGAACTCTACCTCTTTAAAGTGACAGATTTCCCCCCCTTTTTTGCTGCCTTTTCTTTGGGTAGAACGTAGAAGAGATGTTTGGAGGAATGTGAGGGCTCTGCAAATAAAGTATGTCTTAGATAAATCTATTTCTGTTTTTTTTTAAAGGAAACTATTCTGAAGGTTTGTCGAGGAGTTAAGCAAAATTGCAAAATAAAGGGTTTTTCTGCCCCCTCCCTTTAGATGGGAGATTTGAAGATTATATGATGGATTGGTTCCTGTTATTTATGAAAAAAAAAATCTTCCCCACATATAGAAAACTAGCCTGTTTGGGGAAAGAGTTCCCTATACAATTATCCTAGTCCAGTGTATCTCAACCCTCTACCCTCCAAGTACCCTAAATTACCACGGTTAGAATGTGCAGCCAAATTTAGGATTTAAATCAAATTGTTTGGGTCTAGCCAAAACATCATTCAGAAGAGACCACAAATTTACTATTCCTAATTAAAGCATCTGTTTTTATGTGCACGAACCTCCTGTTTTTTATATTCAGGTAGCGTTAGGACACTTATTTAGGGATAAGATAGCATTTATACAAAAGGTATGGAATTTGAAGTGTTTGGAAACCTTAACGTTTACAGATAATCTCCTTCTGCCAAAAAAAACCCAACCCTTCATTAAAAGGAAGGGCCTCTTTATTAAACTAACCAAGGAAGATTAATCATCATCAGGGGGCCATGAAAAACTTACTCTTGAAATAAAATACTTGTCCAGCTAAATGTGTGTGAGATGTTCTTTGTACCCTACACACCACTCAATGCAATTATGTACCGCCATCTAATACTATATTTCTCATACTATATTTTTTCTTTTAGCTTGATGGAACATAAGGTCTTGCAAGGCAGCTGGAGCAGAAAAAGACATAAGCCCACCTGTTGACAAAAGTATTTTAAACTGCTTAGCTCATGCTTCTAAATATAGAATCTCAGCTCAGGGTAGCTTTGGTTAGTATCCGATTATATCAGGGGGCTGCAATCCGTGGCTCTAGAGCCATGTGCGGCTCTTTTGGCCCTCTGCTGCAGCTCCCTGTCGGCTGATGCTGTCTGGCCCCTCCCCTCCTGGCCTGAGAAAGTAAGGGGGATGGTGGGAGATGAAGACTCGCTCCCCATATTCCAGAACAGGAAGTGACTGGGTGGGAGTGAGTGACGTCGAGTTGGCCACACCCACCCAGTCACACCGGTGGTTAAATTATGGGCTCCCGGGGTTTTCATTTCTGTGGGAAACAGGTCCAAACGGGCTCTTTGAGTGTTTAAGGTTGCCGATCCCTGGATTATATCCTCGAACGGAAGCTTGGTGACAGACAAAACACTGACCACAGAGTGGCAGAATTGATAACACGATGTGATATTAAGGAAGGTCAGCTGCGAAGCAGAACCCCCAAAAGAGAGACCCTTCATTCGAAATGGAAACTTGCATTTGAAATCTATATAGCGTGTTGGGCAGGTGTGAGTTGCGATGTTGCGATGTTACGTGCTGTTTTATCCAATGCCGTCCTTCGGATTCGCGGATGCTGTCGGGTGGCGAATATTATTCCACACCATCTGTAATAAGAGTCGAGAGATTGCAAACCCTGGTACTGCATGCATTGTCATCTTTTGTAAACCGTGGACTACGATTACATGTCACCTTATTAAGAAATAACTATGAAATATCAACTACTGTACCGAAATAAACCTTTAATAAAATGTGAAATGCAAATATCTTTTGGAGGAAAAAATAAAAAAAAACACCTTCGACTGGTTGGATCAAATTGTGTTTCACCTCAAATACAGATAAACTTTTAAGCTTTGATTTAGCTGCGCTGGATATCAAAAGTTCATACAGGTTCTCGAATTATGGCTACAATTGAGCTCCAAATTTTATGTTGCTTAACTGAGAAACGTCTTAAGGGAGATTTGCCCCATTTTACGACTTTTCTGGCCACTTTTTGTTAAGGGAATCGCTGCAGTTCTTAAATTAGTAACATGGTTGTTAAGTGAATTTGCTTTCCCCATGGACTTTGCTTGTCAGAAAGTCGCAAAAGGGGATCCCATGATTTTGGGACACTGTGACTGTCACAACTGTGAATCAGTTGTTGAATCACCGAATGTAAATCACGTGACCGTAGGGGATGCTACAATGGTCATAAGTGAGAAAAATGGTCATACGTCACCTTTTTTTCAGTGCCGTTAACAGATAACAGATAATCAGAGTTGGAAGGGATCTTGTAGGTCATCTAGTCCAACCCCCACCCAAGCGGGAGACCCAACACTATTTCTGACAGATGGAAGTCCAATCTCTTCTTGAATATTTCAAGTCCAAAGTACAGGGACTTACAACAGTTCATTAGAGATTTTCAATAAGAGATTGGACTGCCATTTGTCAAAAATGGTGTAAGGTCTCCTGCTTAGACGGGGGGTTGGACTAGATGACCTATAAGGTCCCTTCCAGCTCTGACTATCTGTCTGTATCTAAGTGATGGCGCTCCCACAACTTCCAAGGGCAACTTCTGTTCCATTGATTGATTATTCTCACTGTCAGAAAGTTTCTCCTTATTTCCAGGTTGAATCTCTCCTTGGTCAGTTTCCATCCATTATTCCTTGTCTGGCCTTCGGGTGCTTTGGAAAATAACTTGACCTGCTCCTCTCTGTGGCAGCCCCTCAAATATTGAAAGAGTGCTATCCTGGCTCCCCTGGTCCTTCTCTTCACTAGACTAGCCATGCCCAGTTCCTGTAACCGTTCTTCATATGTTTTAGTCTCCAGTCCCCTAATCATCCTGTTTGCTCTTCTCTGTACTTTTTCTAGAGTCTCAACATCTTTTTTATAATGTGGTGACCCAAACTGGATGCAGTACTCTAGGTGTGGTCT